TTGAAAGCGTTTCACTTAAATCTAGATACGTTTGCGTGTTTGAATGTTGACTATTTGTGTTAGAGATTGAGATAGGCAAAATTGTGGGACTTAACATCTGCGGAGTCAGCAAAACTAGAACCAAGCTATTCAGTGTGATGAGCATTATCCCCTAACAACAGCGATAGTGGCTGAAGGATAAAAATAAAGGGCTTAGTCAATTTGATCAGAAATATCATTTAAAAAAGTGTAAACTTGAGTTAAAGGAGAACAATATAGATTAAGGAGAAAGGCAATTGATTGAAGTGGTGTTAGACAAAAGCTCATAAAAGAACAGTCTGGATTTAAATCTAGTTTCCAGATAAATGAGTGAATTCTCGCGAATGTAAATGCCCAGGTCAAGCATTTGACTATTGGAAACTTTAACAATTAAAGGAAGATAACCATTAACACTAAGATCACAAGATAAGATAGCTGAACTCAAACTAATTTCCAGGATTTTTACATATCTTTATCTGCATTATGTAGATAGGTTAAATTTGAATGTTAGATTTTCAAGTGAAACGCATTAGACATTGTAGTCGAACACAACACAGTAACCCTTCTCAATTATTTCAAGTATCCAATAACACATGTCAAGTATCTAACATCCAATAGCAATATCAATTGGTTGTCAAGCATCAAATAATGTAAACTATCCAAGTATCCAATAAAAATGTCAATTGGTTTTCATTTAGTGACATAATTACCATATTACATGAACCTGACATCAAAAACATTTAAGAGTTTTACTTTTGCCTTAAAAAAAAAGATGAATAACTATCAACTATCACTTAAAAAGTAAAAACTAAACTTATAATAAATGTTGCAACAAAGTTTTGACTTTTTTAAGGAATCCTAATTTCTTTTTATTATAGAGTTCTTTAGAACTCATAATATATGATGGGTCATTTTTTGAAAACGGTAAGATGGTGTTTAGATGGTGTCCTACAAGCCATTGGTTAAAGTTTAATGAACAATCCTATACTAATATTCATTTTGGACTGGTGTAGATGTAAACCTGTGTTACATTATTTCCCAGCTAGAATGATGAATGTAACATCTTCTTGACTTTACACTCATGGATATTTGCTTGCACATCTTCGATAGTGGCTGCGTAACTTTTCCTGTTATCTTCTAATCAGGGTGCAGCTCTGAAAATTAGTTTAATTGTTCTGAGGTTGTCTGCTAGTAAGGCTTCCTAAACTGTATTGTAGCCCTGTTGGTTAATTTTGTGTGTATTGTTAAGGTCACATAAGGAGTCATTAGTTATGACTTTGGATTTATTTACGAGACAAGTCTAGTTCTTTTCAACTTAAAACATAACTTAACATAACATTACCAAAAATTAAACAAAATATAAAGGTAAATATAAAAATTAAACAAAATATAAACGTATAAATGATAAACTTTCTAAATTTTTATTTTTCAAAAATTCAAAATTTCAGTTTAAATAATACAAACGAATACTCACTACAACTTTTGTGTGAAATCTATCTTTTAAAGTTTGTAATACTCTAAAAGACTATAAAAATAAGATTGGAATTTAAGAAAATGGAATTTCATATGCAATTTGTAACTAAACATAAAAAAAATACTTGTAACAAACATTATTATTATGTATATATACTTTTTATATTTTGTATTATATATATTATATGTACATTATATATATATATATATATAATATATATATATATATATATATATATATATATATATATATATATATGTATATATATATATGTATATAAATATGTATATACATATATAATATATTATGATACATGAACAACACATCCACTCAAACACGTACCCCCGCACAAAGACACGCATACATACACATATACACGCACACTTACATACATACTGAGAAAAATAAATTGTTGCGAGTGGGATATGATCTTGACATAACCAAGTGGAAAGTCGGATTTCGCAGCACGAATTTCGTTGACATGTGGCATTTTTGCAGTGGACAAAATAAGTGCAACTTTTTTGGTTTGTTTCATTTTCTTAAGTTTGGTCCGTGTCAACATCACGGAAGTTTTTTAATAATTAAAGAAAGTATCCAGAAGTTTCCAGAAGAAGCATCTGGAAGCATCCAGAAGCATCCAGAAGTATCCAGAAACATTCAGAAGCTTCCAGACGCATCCAGAAGCTTCCAGAAGCATCGAAAAAAAGCATCTAGAATCTCCCAGAACAGGTTCACACAGGTTCATTTTACTATATAAGAGACACGTAAACCGACGTAATACAGTCAGTATATGGAAGTCAATCAGTCAGTATTATAAAGACAGTTAATTGAAGTGAGTTTTATTAAAGTGTTTTATGGAAAAACATCAATACAAAAAGTGAAATACAACAAGTGTTTCATTACATCAATACAGTCCACATCCAACCAAGACGTTGTGTTCCACAGAGTATTTTTGTATCATCACGAGGTAAGTGTAACACGGTAAGCCTTGAGAAGCATGATTATCTATTTTTATTATTTTTATGACTTCAAGTGCAAAAATGGCTCCCGACAGTCTTTGATTGAAACTAAGAAATAAAACTATTTGCAATAACGTAAGTAAAATGTCACAAAAATGTATTTGTAATAAATATCGCGTGAAAAAATATCAAGACTATGTAACAAATATTGTTCTACGGGGAAGTTGGCAGCAGATAACAAAGGCGGAAGACCGCGTTCCACCACTTCTAGAAAGGATTATATGATCGTCTGATCCGTCAAGAAAGATCACTGGATATTATAAGTTGAGATACAAAAGCAATTAGAGCTGCCTATATCGGACCGAACAACCAGACGACGTGCTGTTGAAACCGGTTTGTTTTTTCGACGCCCTGAAAAGAAACCGCTGATTTCACTAAAGAACCTGAAAAAAAGACTCCGGCTTGGTACATCTCATATTGACTAAAATATGCAAAAATGGCGAACTGTCCTGTTCAGTGATGAATCGAAGCTCAACATCATTGAGAGCGATGGCACGTGTACGTCGACCGGCCGGAAAACGCCTCGATTTACGCTACTGCCATGAGACCGTGAAGCATGATGGAGACAATGTAATGGTCTGGGGGTGTTTTTCTGCTAACGGTCTAGGTCCAATACAAAGAATCGATGAAATAATTGACCGTTTCATGTATAAAAATATCCTGAAAGATGTTTGGTTACCTCATGCTGAATGGAATATGCCAATAAAATGGGTTTTTCAGCAAGCCAAAGATCCGAAACACACTACAAAAGTAGTGAAGCAGTTGTATCATGACAACCACCTATCGGTGATGGATTGGCCGCCTCAATCTCCGGATCTCAACCCTATCGAGAACCTGTAAGAGATTGTCAACCGCAAAATTAATCGTGAAGGTGTTCGTAATAAAGATCAACTGTTTGAACAAATCCAAAAGGCCTGGGCAGCGATTTCACAAAGTTTCATTGATCACCTGGTTGAATCTATGCCTCGAAGATGCAAGGCTGTGATCGACAACAAAGGATTCTCCACAAAATATTGATAGCGAAATACAGCTTGGTCAACATTTTGTGGAGCTACACTTGTTATGACCAGAAGGAAATCAACTTTTTTTAATACTTTTGATTAATTTATTAATTTTCGTGTACAAGTAATGAATTTTGTGATGAATAAAACTTGAAGAACGTTGTCTCTAAACAGTTACATAGTTATTTCTCTAAATTTAAAAAAATGTAGCACTCTTATATAAAGAAACTAAATTAGCATTATTCGGTTGCACTTGCTTTGTCTGATACTGTATGTCTTATTTTAAACTGATTGCATGCATTCAGATTTAAGATAGAACTTTTCTTTTGGTTAAATTAATTTCATTTTTTTTATATAGATTTCTTAAATTTGGAAAAACTATCGAAAAACATCAGAAGCTTTTTTATTTTGAAATTGCCCTTCTTTATGATATACCACCTTCTTTATGATGTACCACCTTCTTTATGATGTACCACCTTTATGATGTACCACGTTTTTATGATGTGCCACCTTCTTTATGATGTACCACCTTCTTTATTATGAATCACCAAAGACAAATTTGGTCAAATCTTTCAATAAAACAGATTTCAATCGCTTATAAATTTCATTTTTGAATATTACGTTGTATAGTGTATTTTTTTGTTGTATAAACAGTAATTGTAAGAAAATGTAAGAAATAATACATTTAAATAATACAAGGTAAATAATACATTCATATACTAGTAGAGGAATTTTGTGCAATTTTTTTATTATAAAATTATCTTAACATGTATTTTTATATTATAAAAACTATAATATAGATGTTTATATTAAACACTGTACAAGTTAATTTAATAAAATTTTCAAGTATTAGCTTTTTGTTATTATTTTCAGAGCTAATACATGTGCGCGTTTGTATATAGATGTACGTGGTATTCACAAACAAGTTTTATATGTGCATTTACAACTTCATGTGCCGGCTGGGTTAACTTAGCAGCAACTAAAACTTTGACATTGATTTTCTTACTTGTCGATAGGATGGACTTAAAACAAAATAAAAGTATTGTCGCGAATTATCAAACGACTTGTAAGTATACAAAGGATTAAGATTTCGCCCTCAGGACGGGCATTTCCACATCGTTAACCCCTACAAAATAAGTAGGGGTATTATAAATTAGGCAATTTATAATACCAGTTTTAAATAAAAAAATTAATTTTAAAATTTGTATACTTGATTTTGTAGTTAAAACATGATACTTTTAGATTAGAAATAAAGTGGTTAAAAAATAAAATGTTGAAGCCAGTATATAGATGAATAATACTATAATACAGTATATAGATGGATAATACTATAATACTTAAAATAATAATACTTGTCTAAGACTTAAAAATTTAAAAGAAAATTTAAAAATTCTAGCAGAACTATAAACATTAAATTTATCAATAATTTGAATAATTATCTAGTATAAATTTATTTTATTTGTTTATAATATTCAGGTTCTACAAAAACTATTGACCATCTTTACAACGTTCGTTGTTGATAACAATTATAGCTTTTCCACTTTGGCACGAGAATCTTCTCATGACACATTCGTTTGAGTATGTTATTCCATCTGATCCACAAACTGGTTTATATTCTTTTGTGCATTCGAAACGACAAGCTGGTAAAAAATTAAGTTTCATTGTAAAACAAAAATCTATGTGTCTATGCGTGTGCGTGTGTGTGTGTGTGTGTGTACATTAACTTTTAAAATCAAAATTATAATTATTAAAGTCAGTATATATATATATATATATATATATATATATATATATATATATATATATATATATATATATAAATATATACATATATATATATATATATATATATATATATATATATATATATATATATATATATATATATATATATATATATATATATATATATATGTATATATATATATATATATATATATATATATATATATATATATATATATATATATATATATACATTTGAATTAATGTCTAAATTAAAAGTATATCTAAAATATAGCAAATTGTTTTTAAATCTAGCAAAAATGCTACAACACCAAATAAAATCATGGAGTGATATAATAAATTCCTTGCTGAAAAAACGTTCTTTAAAAACTTAACAAACGTATATCTAAACGGGAAAGCAAAATTAGTTTAAGTTAAAAGTAGTAGAAATTATCAAAAACTTTAAAGCTAGTACTTCTACTTTTTCTTAATATACTCTATTTATCTTATCTTTATTCTGTTTTTCAAAAGCATTGTTCTTTGTTTTGTTTTTTACCTATGGGAGACTGGAGCTAGTTGACTCGGTTATTACTTATGAGCTTTGCAGCCCTAAAGGCACATATTTTTTGAAAATAATAAAGTGTAGTCTCAAAGAGTATGAATTTGGCTAACTTATAAAAGTTGAATTCATTTAGAAGAAAGAAAACTTGGGGCAATCCCAGTTCCTCAAAAATATAATAATAATCGCGCCAACATACTGTACCACGGGGTAAGTTGTTTATACTCAAGGGATAAGTTGATTCACAATAATAAAAATTAAAGTTTAAGGTCCTATTTATATATATTTCAATAATATTTCAACCCCCACCCCTTTTTATAAAAAAGGAATCATAGCTGAAACATACTTTTATCAATATCATCAAACTTTTGGATTAATTCATAATAAAATTTTAAGCAAAGGAGTAAATATAATTAAAAAGCATAAAGTGAAAAAAAGTGAAAACAAAAGAGTGTTTCCAATTTATGGTTGTACAATAAGAATTAAAACAAACATTGTTTTATTATATGAATATTTTCAACTAATTAAGTTTCAAATCGGTTAGCAACAATTTTTGCAAATAAAAAAACAAATACTTTCCGATAACGCATGACTCGTGAGCTCATGAAAGTGACATTGGGTGCATTGTACCCAGACTTTCTCTGGTTTACTTTCAGAGAACATTCCTACACAAAATCAAACAAAAACACTCCTTTTCTACAGAGCTATTTGGACGAATTTTTTTCATTAAGTTGATCTTTTACTTATCTTAATATTATCTTTATTTAACTTTTTTTCTCTTTTCATTTGATAACTTTTTCTTTTTAGCTTTTTAACTGTTTGAATATCATCATGATATGGTTTGAATATCATCATGATATGGTTCTGTATCTTTTGAGCAATCCGTTTCTAACATGTCATTATCTGATATTGTAAAGTAAACATCACTTACATTACTTATATTTAGCGCTGTACTTTCCACAACACAGTCTTGTTTTAGAGTTGGTCTATCTTTGGTATAGGCTGGCATAAAATTGTGTTTACTAAAAATCTTAACTTTTAGCGGAGAATTCCTGTTTTTGAAAAACTAGCCTTGATATTATTAGAGGTAAATGTTAATGGAAATGAGTTACCTACAATACCTGGTATACTGTAAATAGACATTGTGGAACTAGGGTGCGTTATCAATCATCACTAGTTGTGTTTGTGTATTTTTGAAAAGGCCCAAATACATTTCGATCTAAAGGTTGCAGTTTGTGGCTGCAATGAGGAGGAAACAAACAAACGATACCTCATTTTCTTCAAAGTAATATAAAGCCTCTACTGAAAGATCATGATTGTCTAATAGCTACAAAATAGGTTGTACTTTTGTACTTCTGGCATATTTGACGAAATGATGGGAAAACTGAAAAAATTGAACTTCAGTTATCAATTCAGATTGGTTTGCAGCGTCTTCACTTTCATTAGGAGCACCATTTAAAAAATAGTTTTTAAATTTCACACGAGGAAATATAATTTCCACTGGCAGAAACAGAAACTGCCACAGTTACTAAATTGCCTCCCTCAGCCGAAGTAACTTACCCAATATGTTTAAAATCTTTTCTTACTACAATATGATCTGGAGTTAGAACTGTGGTACGACCAGTTTCATCCATATTCCAAATATCTCCACCTTCCAACTTTTAACGATTAAGAACAGTTTGTAAATTGTTGTAAAACTTTTGAACATTTGTTGGATTAAAACTGGAAACACATTGACTGCTTTTTGTGTCTTTTGAGGTAAGCACTGAATCAGTCCTCTGCAGCTGTTTCATTTGCACTCCAATTATGAGGTATTTTTATGTTATTCGGTAAGTATGAAAAAGCTAGTTTCCTCACTTCCTTAGGAGAAAGTTCATAATAAATACCAGAAGCTTAAGTCATGTTGTTACAAAAAATCTTCCTGTAAATCAGTAACGACCTAAATGAACAATATCAATATTAAAATAAATAACACTATATATATGCACACACACACACACATACACACACAAACACACATAAAACACAGTTACAAAATATAACTGTTATTTTCTTTAACACATACACACACATAGTTTAAGCGTATTGAGCACTCTATTTGTAAATAAAAACACTAACAAAATTTGTATATATATATATATATATATATATATATATATATATATATATATATATATATATATACATATACATGTATATATATATATATATATATATATATATATATATATATATATATATATATATATATATATATATATATACATGCATATGTATATATATATATCGACTTACCTGTCTAGATTTTATGTAACCTGGTATTTGCTGACCATGATATTGTTGCTTTTTGCAGTATCAGGAAAAAGTTTTTTTAGGGATAATAAAGTCTGTGGCTATTTTTTTATAGATTTTTACATCTGATGAAACAGCATCAACAGCATTTTTTTATAACATTATGAGGAGTTATAGCCATCTCTGCTTTTCTTTTAAAGTTTCGCATGTGATCAATGTGATCTATCTATTTTATCAATTTTAATATACTATTTAAAAAAATTATAAAATTAAAAATTAAAAACTTGAAATTCACACGCAATCGGGTTTATTGCGAAATATACGGCCAACTTGCCGCGCCAATATTTCGCCAACTAATCACCACTGCTATTTGGTCACAAACATTAAAAAATGAATGGTAGGACAGATTTCACTGAACCATGCAAGATATAACTCACATCAAGTATATGTGAACTTGATGCAATTTCTTTTAAAAATTTTAAGAAGTTGTAAAAGTTACGAAAATGTGGAAAAAACACATAAATCACAATATCTTTTATGCACATGTCCAAATATCTACAATATTACAGTGAAAGATGAAATGGTCAAGTAGGAAGGTTTCCTGAGACTATTGGTATTTTTTGATAAAAGGTTTTTCAGATAAACGCAATTCATCAACTTACCCTTACTGCCAACTACCCAGCTAACACAAAACGTTCAAGAAAGTTCGACGAATGCTGTGAACGTTTGAGTACGTTCTATAAACGTTCACAGAACGTTCCTGAACGTTCACAACGTTCGTTGAACGTTTTGTGTTTGCTGGGTAGCCCCAGTCTCCCCTATAATTTAATGTTGAAACGTTATAGCAAAATAAATGTACCACAATAATATGCATAATAATTATCCATCATTTTTTTTTTTTATAATAAAACTACTTTTTTTTGGTTTAGACTAATATGAAATTTATACTTATAAGAGGTATGTTGTAGTTATTTTTTTTTCATTATATATGAAAATATTATTATTAAAGTAGTTAGTTAGTTATGGCAGGTAAATACTGCCTATGCATTATGGTTTAAAGTTTATGCAAAAAGTTAAATTAAAGTTTTAAATTAAACTGGCATTCCTCTATACCCAATTGTATTATTGTCAAATGTTATTATTCTTGAGTTATAACAACATTCATTTACATTATATTAAAATGAAACAAATTTTAAAAACATACAAGTGCAATCATCATCAAACAGAGTTGCTTTTCTAACTTCTGTAATAGCTTTTTTTTGCAAACAAGATGCTTTTCTCAACGCACAATTGTTTGGATATTTTACATTGTCATTACCACATACAGGGGCATAAAGAAGAATGCATGGAAAGTCACATTTTGCTAAAACACAAAAAGTTAATTAGTAAACTTACAATTATGTATTTTTTTTTTTTTTTAAATTGCTTAAAGAAGTTTTCATACTAGTTGTATTGCATTCTCCGTTGTAAACTTTAATAATGGCTTCCAAGTTTAAACATGATGCTGTTATTAGAGCACATTCATTTGCATACGTCACCCCGTTGTTACCACAAACTGGTTGCCAATTCTGTGAGCAAGGTAGCATACAATTAAATTCTATAAAAAAATAATTGAAATAAGTTTGAGTAACATTTTTTGTTTGCAATCTTCTTTTTTATATATATATATATATATAAATATATTTTTAAATGCTATAAGACTATGTAGTGGTCTTGTCACAGAGCACTGCGCAAAATCATTTAACGAGAGTTTTTATTATAAAAATTGACATCGAACCTTGGATATTTTGGTTTTGAAGCCAGCGTTTTTTGAGTTCGAAGCCAGCGCCACCGCTGCTCAATTTAAAATACAAGTATGTAAAACAAAAAACCTCTTCGCTTGCAATATTGTTTTATGGAAAAAAAGATTTTATAAAAAAACTATTATGTACTACCTGTGAAATGTTTTTAAAACTAAATCACACTTACTTACTCACTCGCTCTCCACTCTAAGACTCTCTCTCTGACACACACACACACTTTTTTTCTTTCTCTCAATCTCTACACACAAGCGCGCGAATAAACACACACTCACACACGCTCAAACCTATGCAGCTTCGAACAATAAATATTAATTTATAAATTTAATAATCTTTAACTCTACCTCTCACTGCATATGCAACACCTTGGAATAATAGAACTAATGCTAACATTATTCTCATCTTTTTTTTAATATTTTTGAACTAAGAAAAAAAAAATTGCATAAATATAATTATCTTTGGCAATAAAAATTTCGTTAAAAAGTTTTGCTCACTTCAATGACGTAAAAAATTTAGGTCTATAAACTCAAGTACTATTGTTAAAATTTTCAACTTACATAAAAGTAATTTCAATAGTCTACCAAAATGCGTTTTTAAATTTTTTCAAAAGTAAAAATTGAAAATTTACATTTAAATAAATAGAATATAAAAGTTGTATTTTAGTAGATGTTAAAAACATACTTTTTAATATTAATATACTTTTAAAATTATATACAATATATAAAAAACCAAAGCAAAAAAAATTACAATTTGATTAATGTGAAATTAGTTACTTGATTCTACATAATTTTGATACTAATTTACCTTTTTTTAGTCTCAACTAGTTTTGCTCGTTTATTTGGTTTTGCTCGTTTATTTGGTTTTGCTTGTTAGTCTTATCCTTGTCTCAACTTATCTGTTTACATGAAAACATGTCTGCAGACATCTTGAGAGTTAACCAATGTTTACACTTACTATGCGTAGAATTGTTTTATAGTACTACTTGTCAACTTCTGGCCAATATATTTGAAAAATTGCTCAGATTAATTTAAACTAACGGTGACCGATAGTCTAAATGTAGTTGCTGCAAACAGGGCCTTCGAGAGCGTCATTGGCGCCCGGGTCAAAAATGAAGAGCGACGCCCTTAATTCAAACTAATTAAAGAAATTAAAATTTTAAAAATTTTGTGAACGCAGCAGTTATTTGTTTCTAATACAGCACTTCGTACTTTTGCGTTACCATTAATTCTCTGGGTTAAGAAACGGTTTTTTGACATTATCAAAACATTAGCTTTAAAACTATTAAAAAATTAATCATCAAAATCTTTAAGAAAGGTAAACAAGGCACTTAAAAATAAATTTTTTGAGCTCTTATGGTCGCCCAAATAATGACATTGTCGTAGGTAACCTTTTTAGCCAAAATCTTCTTTAATCAAAATAATCAAATACTAGTAACGCGATCCTGGCCCATGGTCAAAGGAGAGTTTTTTACAATTTTTAGTTTACTAAACGATTGTTTACCCTCAGCAACTGACTTAGGAATAGTGTTAAAAATCCAGAAAATGATACAACTGTATGGAAAAAAAGTGTTTAAGCTTCTTCTACAAGATTAGATCGAATATCGCGGAAATTGTTAAAACGACAAACTTCTTAAATGAGAATCTTTTTGTCTCTCGAAGATATCCAGAATGGTATCTACTTCACAATCATAGTCAATTGTATCTCATACTGAGCAGAAAATCTTTGTTATTCGTTTTCTCCTCTTTTTCTCTGGAAGAGAAATTAGCTGCTGGAAAATCAAAAAACGATACTTGTGTGTTGAAACTTTTCAGATGAAGAAAGAAGTTAATATAGCTAAACTTCTTGAGAATCTTTTTATTTACATCTCTCAGATAAAACCGTGCAAGTTCTCATACTTTATTTTAAACAGAAAAACTATTATTATCTAACCAGACGAATAAAAACATATTGCCAACAATACTTCTCGTCTCAAATCTTGAATCAATATGCTGGATAAGGCAATCTAAATTAACATTAAAAACGTTCCCTTTAAGTTCTTTTTTTTGGCTGAAGTGGAAATAGCCTGTTTTTGATGCCTCATCATAAAGGTACTTTAGCTTACGCTTTCCTTTAGTAGCAAGTTAAACTTCGAATCCTAGTAAGTCAGCTATAATTATAGTCTCTTAGAAAATTCGTAACCAAGTGTTCCTAATCCGTTTAAAATTTTCAAGTAGCTGTCTAATCAAATGTAGATCATTATCAATGGTAATGGCTGCAGATTGTAGAAGACGACTAACAGCTACTCACTGGTCAAACATGTCGTGATTTTCGCAACATGTTTAAGAGCTGCCAACATTTCTCTTAGCAAGTGGTTTGATCAAGTCGAAAAGAGAGCTCCATGTTGTCATAGAAAGTCTATGCAGTAAAATCCAAGTTGCTTCAGTAAGAATCTTCCATTGAAAAAAACTAAAAATAAGTAGCAAAGTTCTGCATTTTTAAAGAATACTTTGATCTCAATGACTGGTTCATTGAGATCAAAGTATTCTTTAAAAATGCAGAACTTATTTAGTTATTTAGAGGTCCCAGGTTTGACGCCGGCTTCAGCCCAATAAGCGACATTGGTAAGGAAGGAGGCGTGAACTTCTAGTTAAATGGTCTCCCGCGGTATTCCGTGATAAGACCGTAAGGACTTCTAGGAGCACCTAAATAACCTAAAAAAAAAAAAATTTATGAGTTTCCTCCATTGATCCCTAGCTCCTCTGTTTTAAAGAAAGAAGGGACAACTACCTACTTTTGAAAACTGCTTTTGTGCTGGGTATTTTTTTTAAAATAAAAAATCTTGATCTTTTTGACTCAAAACAACTGGCCACAAAGAGGGGTTAGCAGTAAATATTACCGAATCGGGTTGAACATCACATTCTCTACTGTAAGATATAAGGTTTCTCGTTCTGACTCTGATGATAAACTTTGAAATTCTTTAGCTCAGATTTAGGGAAATGTTTTGAGCCCTCTACTGATCCACAGTTCTTCAAACCACACATATTGAATTTAGTAAATTACACGTATTGAGTGCAGCAAAGTGCAAAACCTCAAATATTTGATAACTGTTCGGGTGCTGGTAGTGGCAAAGTTGCTTAGTTGTCTAAAAAAATGCAAAGCTATGATTTTTACTTTTACTTCAAAGTCAAATAGTACCTAAAATAAATAGTACCTAAAATAGTACCCCGCTTCCGTCTAATTTTACTTCAATAAATTGTATTTTTTTTCGTAAAAAATAGTTTATAATTAATTATAATAATAGATTTTAAATTTTAAATTATTTTTTTCATGAGCATTTTTATTCCGAATACTAAAGCTTTAATCTCAAGTACAAAAACTAAGCAGATTTAAAATTATCAGTCATTAAAATACTTTATATTTATTGTAAAAATAATAATAATAATAAAAATAAATAAATAAATAAGCAACGGATTGCCCGGCGCCCCTTAAAGCTTGGCGCCCGGGTCAATTTGCCCCCTTTACCCCTCCCTCTCGAAGGCCCTGACTGCAAGTAGATAAGATATGATTGTTACTATTAATGAAATGACATAAATGCGAAACAATTTTATTCTGAACTTTAATGTCATCTGGTTTACATCCATCATATATTGATCTGTCATATAAGAAAGCAAAATTACGAACATTTTATGAACAGAACATGTATTCATTATTTAATGATAATATAAAGATAAAAAGAACTAAAGTTATTTTCTTTTTAAAGATTTCTAGTTAAAAAAAACGTTGCGTGGAAAAATCACATAGAAACTTTGTTAAAAAAACATGCGTTAGTTAAATATTCATTTATCCATTGCTATATTAACAATGCGAGCATCTCCTTCGGCAACATAAGCATCTTTTAAAGAAAAACTCGAGCAAATTCTCTTTTGATTAAAACAAATGTTATTAATAATATACCAAATAAATGTTTTTAACGTTTTTTGTTTTAAGTTTAAATGTAACGCAAATTTGACCCCAATATTATTCCATAATTTACATATGTTAATAATAAAATATATTAAAAATGAATGAGTAATAAAAAATGAATAATAAAAAATAATAATAAGTAGAAATGATAACTTTTATGTTGATTTTAACCAACCGTTTTCTCAAACTATTTCATTTCGTGGCACTTTTATATGAATCAGAATAATTTTGAAAAATTTCAATTGACCTTTCCCCTTATTATTTTTTTCACGCAATACATTGTGGTATTTGTATGCACCGAAAATTATAAACTTAGATAAATCGTATTTAAAGTTGTATAAATTGTAGGTGATATTTCTCATAAAAGTAATAGTTTTGTTTTTGTTTGAAGTATTATAAGTTAAAAGAATATAAAATGAACACTGAAAATATTTCTGTTGGTTCTAGCTTTTTTAAAAGCTCTAGCACGGTTCCACTGCATGTAACATTTCGTGTAATTACTAACGAAGAATTTAATAGTGATGATAACGAAATAATCTCTAAAGAAGTACCTGAATGGTCAAGAGACATAACATTTCTTCCTCTGATAACGCATCAACATATTATTACCTATATGATATCAGAGACAGTAGCAGTCGATAATTTAGAACGAAGAGCTACTAAACATAAAATAGCAGGTTATCAGTTATTCAAAGAAAACTATGTTAAAAAAATTAGAGTTAAGCAAAATATTCCAAGTGATAAACTTTTATTTTTGGTAAAGTGTAATGTTTCAGCATCAATGCAAAAAATTCAATACGAAATATATGTACGTATTTGTCAAAATACTGGATATGTATGCTATGCCAAATGCAATTTTAAATGTGGTGGAGGTGGGTGCTGTAAACATGTAGCTGCAACATTATATCAACTTATTGAGTATAAGCAGCTCAATTTAAAAAGTGTACCTGAAGAAAAACCATGCACTGATGTGTTACAAAAATGGCACATACCTGGTGAATTAGCTAAGAACTGTGAAGCTGTTTTATTTTCCAATCTAACATTTGAGAAAGCTGATGCTAACAAAGATATTAATAATTTAAGATGTCGTCCTCGTGTTACTGGAAAGCTAAGTTTTTGTGCTACACCATTGTATTGAAAAAAATATAACACTTAAAAAATTGCAAAAATTCCTTGAAAACCTTATTAAATTTAACCAAGGAGTGACAATGGCTGAGTTAATTATTGGGAATAATTTTGAACAGAGTAACTTTTATGAGACATCCATTGACGAGCTAGCCCCTGAAAATGAAAAGTATGTTGAAAATATAAGGGTAGTTATGAAAATGGATAAATTTTTACGTCGTCTGGACCATTCACTTGAAATTAATTTGACTGAGGAAAATTATAGCTTTGTCAAAAATCAATTACCAATCGATGTTGCAAAAATAATTCAAATTGAATCAGAAACTGTAGATTAATCAAAAAACAAAAAATGGTTTGAAGAAAAAAAAAAGAAACTCACGGGATCAAATTTTGGTACAGTTGTAAACCGCAGAAAAAATATTCATCCAACTTCTTTGTTAAAAAGGCTTATAAGTAACCGTGATAGTAGTTTGACAATCTCAAGCCTGTCGTTGGGGTAATGAAAATGAAGATATCGGTCTTGAAAAGTATAAAGGAAAATATAACTGTAATATTATAAAATATAGCCTCGTTATAAACCCTAAATGGCCATGGCTAGGTTGTAGCCCTGATGGATTGTGTATTAATAATGACAGCTAAAAATGATTGAAATAAAGTGCCCTTTTTCGAAAAGACATCTTTCTGTTCGCGAAGCTTGTAACGATAAAATCTTTTGTATGGAACTTGTAAATAATTAGCCAAAACTAAAAATAAACACTATTACTTTTACCAATGTCAAGGTATAATGGCTATAACAGAAACAAACGAAATAGATTTTATTCTTTACACAAATGAAGGCTTTTTTGTGCCATCAATTAAATTTGAACATGAAAACTGTTTCAACATGAAAACTGTTTACCATGTTAAAATACATTTTATTTTCAGTTTTTGACTAAAAAAATATTTGAAAGTATATAAATATTAAAAAATAATTATGAGAAATTAACATTTTATTTTATTCTTCAATAATTTCTTTGTCAGCAATAAGTGGTGGCAAAAAGTTTACTAGGTAGTAACTTATTACCCAAATTTTATTAAGTTGAGCAGCCATTGTGATAAAGAAAACTGTTTGCGATGGTCTATAATTTTTTATTCTTGCTATAGCTCGCTCTACATGTACCCTAAGAAAAGCAATCCTTCCAGTTTCAACTTCTTCTGGGTGTGATAGTTGAGGTTTTCCATTAAGAAAGGGGGGTATGTTAAGGGAAACATTTTCAGGCAAGAGGTCATCGATTTCAAAACCGCGATCAGCCATAATAGAGTCACCTGGTTCTACAAGGGACATTAAATTAGAATGTTTTGTAATTTTGTAATCAGTAGACCTACCAGTACACAAATCTGACACAAATGTAACAGCACCTGCTGGTGAAATTCTAACTAATCTTTTTGCGGTGTTGTGGTGTTTATATGATGAAAACAGAGCTGATTGACTTCTATAAGACGTAGGCATTTCTATAAAAATCTCTGTACAGTTTATTATAACCCTTATTGAGGAGTAAAGTTTTTTAAAACAACTAGGCATGGTATCATCTACAGTTTTTCTAATTGCCCATATAGGCAATGCTCTTAGTTGTGAATGCAAAAGTTCAATCCACGTTATTAATATTCGGCTAACATGACTAGTCGATAACTTAAAACGAACCCCTAGATCTTCAATAGGAAATGCACATTTCAAACGAATTAGAACCATAAAAGAACTCTTCCTCAGGTGTTAAGGTTCTTTTTCGTCCTCTCTTTTTTACTTCGGATTCAGTTTCTTTATCCGCTGTTGTGTTTGAGCCATAATATATAAGAGATCTAGCTGTAGGCTGAAGATATTCAAACACAACTTTAAATAGTTCATAGCTTTCAAACCCTGTATAAAACTTGAAATATGCAGTGTTGTGCTTAAATCGATTAATTGTAAAGCTAATATCTGAAATTACCTTTTGCAAAGGATTTATTTCAATGCAATGCTTTTGGTTTTTGATTTTTTTTTCAAGTTCAATTGTTTTAACTTGTAAAGAAGCCACTTCTTCTCAGTTTATCATCTTTCCTGAACATAATTGTTTTAGTTAATATTTTTTGAAAAGCCTTTCTCAATCCTTTACTATTATAAGTATCTCTCACTTTTCCCATATAAGGTTTAATAGTTTTAGGTAGGATAGTTGGTATTTTGTTCATGTAATTTTTCTTTCAACCTTCAAAATGTTTAAAACATACACTTTGACTTAAAGTTGGTTTAAAGTCTCTTCTACTTATTTTTTGAAGCCATATCTTTCTAAGGTTTTTGTCCTTGTTGGGAAATGCATAAAATGATAGATTTTTATGTTTTACTGAGTTACTAAAGCATTTAGGTGCACAACATGTAAAATCCCCATTTCTTTTTTTTTTCTTTTTTAGTTGAACAATATCGATTGGTGTATTTGTTGTTATACTTTCTTCGAAGTCTAATATAGTGCTACTGCTAGCAAGGTTTACTCCAACAACATAGCTTTTAACATTTGAACTAAACGAATTAAAAGTTGTGGAATAAAATGAATTTAAGTCTCCAGGGACAATCTCAGTTCCTTCAATATATGATATTTTACTAAACTTATTTTTGTTGTTTATTTCCGTATACATACAAATACCATAATGCATTGCAATAAGGGCAAACGTCAATTTATCCCGAAATTGAAATTACGCAACTTTCAAAAGTAAATTTAAAAAAATCTCACTTTATAACTACTTGCATTCTTTTGATCTCGATTTATGAATTTTTATTATAAATTTTTCTGTTTTTACTTATATTTCATATTGCTATTTTTTAGATGTGCACGTAAATATTAAAAACGGTTCTTAAAAACAGGTCTACTCGACCCTCTACGAGTATCTATGTTTTGTTTTGCGGATTTCAATTTTTTTATCTGAATAAATTATGATAAACTGTAAAAAGTTACAGATATCCTTATAACTTCTTTATTTTAGAAAAAAATTAAAATTGGAAAAAAATTTTAAAACAAATTCATCGAATAATATTTTTAACTTTCTCAGTTTTGCTAGAAAACATAATTAACTTATTTGATTATTTTATATATATATATATATATATATATATATATATATATATATATATATATATATATATATATATATATATATATATATATATATATATATATATATATATATATATATATATATATATATATATATATATATATATATATATATATATATATATATATATATATATAGTCCAGCCCCTTTGTATCATTTACATATCAAACCAAAAAAAAAATAAAAAATAAAAATAAAAAATAAAAATAAAAAGTTACCCATCATATAAGAAAATATATATATATACTTATATACACATACACATACATACACGTACACATACATACATATACATATATACACATGCACATACACATATACACATACACATGTTTATATATATTACAATCTCAGTAAAATAATATTAAATACTTTTTTTTTTTTTTTTCCCCAAATACAATACAAATATAAAGATAAGTAATGATATAAAGTGTGATGCCGCCTTTTAAACAAAAAAGAAAAGTTAACGAAATAAAAATAAGAGAGGACAAAATAAAAATTAAAAGTAAAATAATATTTGAGATACGTCATAATCAAGTAACTGTTTTTTTAAGATACTTTTAAAAGTTTGGATTGAAGCTGTAGTTTTACTATTATTTAGGAGAAATGAGTTCCACAAATGTGGACCTCGGTAAATTATTGAGAATTCAGATTGTTTTAACAAAGTTTTTGGTACCTGATAATTAAGCAATGAATGCTTTGTATATTTATGATCTATAATAAAGAAAAAGTCTTCAAAAATATTAGGTAGCATATGATATTTTAATCTAAACATGAATAAAAGAATATTGTAGATACTTAATTGGTAAACATTCAGTACTCCGAGCTTACGAAGCAGTGGATTGGCACTGGCGTATTTATTAACATTTAATATTAGGCGGCTTGCCTGTTTTTGTTTTTTTAAGATACAAGTTACTCTTGACGGATAAGTGCTTGCCCAAGCAATGTTACAATAACTAATATAGCTATGAATAAATGAAAAGTAAATAGATTTTAAACAGTTTTTATCCAACTTATATCTAGTTTTATACATGATTCCAATACTTTTTAAAATTTTATTTTCTATTAGATTAATATGCTCTTTCCAATTTATTTGCTCATCGATTAAAACGCCTAAGAATTTAACGCAGTATGTCCGTTGTAATTTGGTTTTTTCTATTAAAATATCCGGGAGTTTTAAAGGCAGCGTTTCAGATTTAGTGGATTTAGAAAAGAGAGTATATTTGCTTTTAGTAGGATTCAGAGAGAGTTTGTTGGCTTTAAACCATTCATTAAGGTTATCAAGTTCACTATTCATAGTGGTAATGATTGTCTTAATGTTAGAGTGAGTATAAAAAACTTGAGTGTCATCAGCAAAAAGATTAAAGTTTAGTATACTAGATGATAAGTAAATATCGTTGATATAAATAATAAACAACAAAGGCCCTAAAATAGATCCCTGTGGAACTCCGCAGGTAATGTTTTCTAATTTAGTGTAGGTTTTGTCATAAGATACGCATTGTTTGCGATTTTTTAGATAGGAACAAAACCATTTAAAATTATTATTTTTGATTCCATAAATTTTAAGTTTGTAAAGAAGAATATCATGGTCCACAGTATCAAAGGCCTTAGAGAGGTCAATAAACACTCCAAGAGTATATTGGTCGTTTTCAAACCCATTTAATATTTCTTTAACTAATTTAATTACTGCATGTTCTGTCGATTGTCCTTTTCTAAATCCGTACTGATTATTATTTAAAACTTTGTAAGTTGTGAGATAGTTGTAAAGCCTATTATGCATTATTCGCTCTAGAATTTTAGAAAAACATGGGAGTATTGAAATAGGTCTGTAATTAGATAACTTTGAGATATCACCATCCTTAAATATTGGAACTACTCTCGCTAGCTTCAAGAGATAAGGAAAAACGCCATTTTTAAATGAAAGATTAAAAATAATAAGTAAGGGGTTCTCAATAATATCAAAAACTTCATTAACAACCTTAGGGTTTATATCATCAAGGCCTGCGCTTTTGTTTGGTTTTATCATATTAAAAGCAAACCGAAGTTCATCAGGCGATACCTCAAGCTCATCCATTACATAGTCCTTTTCTTTTAAATATGATTTAAAAATTTTTTTTCCTGGAGTTATTTTGTTTGCTAGGTTTTCACGCACGTTTATAAAAAAGTTATTAAAACTGTTTGCAATATCTTTTTTTTCACGAGTTATTGCTCTTTCATCCTCAGTATATAAATATTTCGGTAAACAATTACCACGAGTTTTCTTTTCTTTTCCTATCACTTCCATTATTATATCCCAAGTTTTTTTGTTATTTCCAATATTATTTTGTAATAAAGTTGAGAAATTTTTTTTAGCTTTTTTTTTCAAGTTTTTAAACAGGTTTTTGTAAGTTTTATATTTTTTTTCGTTTTGATAAGTTTTTTTTTTTAAATATTTTTCATTGAGTTTTTGTTATTTCTTAGAAGATTTAACAAGTCCTTTTGTAATCCATGGACTTTGTAGGTTTTTACACTTGGTTTTAATTTCCTTCATCGGAAACGCTTTGTCGTACGCATTAAGAAACTCGTTGTAAAAAAATGCATAAGCTTTATTTGTATCTTTACAATTATGTAGTTGTTTCCAGTTTACTTTGAGTAAATGATTTTTAAATTCCTTGATATTAAATTCAGTAATCAGCCTTTAATAACTAAGTTATTTAATAATAATAGTTACTATTATTAAATAACTTAGTTTTAAGTTATTTAATAATAATAACTAAAAAAACATATTTAATAATAATAAAAAAAAAATCTGTATGAAATTTCTCTACCAAATAATACAACACTGCTCCATAATTAAGTTATGTTAAGAAGTATCCACCATTAAATTGTTACCTCAAATATGATTTATTAACAATAAATACTCTAATAAGTTATGATACATCAAAACTGTTAATTATACTCTAACAGTTTTCAAATAATCTTTTTTAAAAAAAGACAGCAGAAGCTTTTTTTACATTTTTAGCAATACCAAAACAAATTTTAAATTTAGCTGAATACTTTTTTTGTATGTTTAGCTGTAGAGGCGGATCAAAATTGCAAATGTAAATCCAACATGATTAAATTTGACAGCCGCCTTTTTGCACTTAAAAAAATTAAAAGGGATGGAGATCCTTATTGAACAACAAAGTAATTTTGTAATAAAATAAGGTGCACCAGTCTCTAAGTTTAGTATTATACTTAATATTTATTTAGCTAAACAGCTATTTAAATTTATTTTGTTTACTAAAAACATTAAATGCTAAGTTAGTCCAAAGAACATCGTGCACTGAAATTTATACTATACTTAATTATTACATTATATAAGTATGCAATTTAAATATAACTTGATTTTATTTAGATAACTTAGTTTTTATAGGCTTTAAAACGTATTAAAGATTTTTAGATTACTTTGTAACAAAATAAACAACTTTTTATTTAACATTTTGTAGGGGAAAAAAATTATTTTTGAATTACCATTATCTAAAAAAAATTTTAAAAGTTAAGAAAATTTAATTATAATTTAATTTAAAGAATTAAAATTTGTATTTAACTATATTAAAAAAAAATTGTTAAAATTTTTCATTTGTTTCACGCAATGTATGATAATATCGTGAAATATAAAATTTTCAAACAAAAAAGTTTAAACAAACAAAAAGATATTATTTTGTTTGTTTAAATTTTGTTAGAATTTGTTTAGATTTAGAACCGCAAACTCTCTTTAAACGAAAGATAAGCTTTTCTTTAAAGAGAGTTTGCAGTTCGATCTTTCTGGCTATTTTCTAAACTTTTTTTGGTTCAACTTTCCTGCTATTTTCTGAACTACTCTTTAGTTTGAATTTAATTAGAAATTAAGTTCTAACTAAAAAATATTTCTTCATATAGGGAAAGTTTTGATGAAAGTTTGTAATAAAAGATAACAAGGGTAAAGATTTTATTATTAGTTGTTACTTTTCTCTTTATTTAACTTCCTTTAAAAGTTTTGGTTTGTTAACACTTAGGTTAACTGATCAGAGAAATGTTTACAACTAAAATGATAAAACTACCATTAAAAAAAAAAAACTTTGTGCAAAGCCTGAGTCTCAGGCCTTAAAAATGCATGATTTTAAAATTTTGTGTTTCTTGTTCAATCAATATTTAAAAGCATCGTAATGTATTTCTAAATGATTTTTCTTTAAACTTTTTTTAACATTTTTTAATCTTTAAACGACTTTATTCTTTGTTAATAATAATTGATATTAATATTTTACATCTAAATAATTTACTCTAATACAGTGGCGTAACTGCAAAATCTAGACAACCTCCTAAATGCGAGATTTTCATTGGACTACTAATACGAAATTTTCATTAGGGCCTCTTCTTAAGAAAAATCACATGCATTATTGAAAAAAAGTTTTGGAAACCTCTAAGGGTCCTCTTTAACACCATACTCCCGCTTTAACACCATACTCCCCTAGTTACGTCACTGCTATTAAAAGTTAAAATTAAAATATTTAAAATCTATTTTTTGTAAAAATTTTCACAAAAAATAGATTTTGACTTGTTTTATTATTTTGTGAATTTCTCTTACCATCCCTTGACACCTATTTTTTGTTAAGTAATTGCTGATAATTATTTCTAAATTTTTAAGCTATTTATAATTAAATATAAATATGTAATTAGAAACAATTAGCTAATCTAAAATTAGCGCGTAAAATAAGTTAATAAAATATTTAAATTTATTGGCATTTAACTACCGATGTGGATTGTAAAGAATTAAAAGCGGCAAAATAAAAGGCTAATTGATTATACAGAGAAGGCTAATAATGTTTCTAATGATAATTCTACTATGTTAAATTAATGTATTAAAGCTGATTAGTGATGAATTATTTTTTGGATTGACGCAATCTAACAGTCTTGGGATCACTTATCAGTTTTAATGTTCAATAGTGCTTCAATAAATTTCGTAAAAAAGTTCATAATATTTGTTACGTCAAAATTGTTTTTAATATAAATTGCATATTTAATTTTCGTCTTATTTTATTCCGCCTTTATTTAAATTTCTTTATCAAGCTGTGCAGCTAAACAAACACAAGGCCTCTTGTTATTGGTATATAATTGACAACTTTGCATTAATCACAACAACATTAAGAAAACCTTATACTTAACTCTGTAAGATATAGAATTCAATATTTTATAATATTGAATTCAATATTTTGTAATTACTTTATACAATAAGTTTATATATCACATTTAATTTTTTTTTTTTTTTTAAGAAAACAATGAAGTGTGTTGCTGTAATTATGACTTTGTTAGTTGCTGCTTATGCAGGTAAGTTTTTTTTTTTTTTTTAATAATCTTTGTTAAAATTCCAGTTGAAAATGATATGATTAGCAGCTATGGCGCAGTGGTTAGAATGCTGGCTCAGAACCAAGAATGGGTATGAGGCTCTTCCCCTACTCAACACCTATTATTAGAGCCTTAAATTCTTAAAAAATTTTCCACTAGGTGTTACTGAAAAAAAATGCTCCTTAAAATTCCGAAAGGGTCCCTAAATTTGCAACTCTCTTCTTTGGTAGTTTGTATTTAGACCGAAAGGACTTCTGAGACCAACTTAATAACCACACATACACACACACACACACACACATACACACACACAAAAAGTATTATACATATATATATATATATATATATATATATATATATATATATATATATATATATATATATATATATATATATATATATATACACACGTATATTTACAATTTTTAAAATTTCAGAGAGAAGGTGCAACCAAGTATGCACAATGATTTGGGCACCAGTTTGTGGTCACGATGGAAAAACATACGCTAGTGAATGTGCGTTAAAGGCTGCATCTTGTCTTAGCCAGGAGCCCATAGTTAAAGTGTATGATGGCGAATGCAACCTTGAAGGTAATTTGTTTATTTTTAAATTTTTTTCTTTAATTTTAATTTCATGGTAAGGTTTAATTGTTAGATTTATATTTTTATATCAGGCAACTGCAAATTTGCTTGCAACAGAATGTATGCTCCAGTTTGTGGTAGCGACAAAAACCTTTACTCAAACGAATGCCTTTTGAGGCAAGCTGCATGCGAACAAAGAAAAGCCATTACAGTCGTTCGAAATGTTGGTGAAAATACTGATTGTAGTTGTAAGTTATTTTACTAAAATGTTTTCTATACTTATTAATTTTTTTTGTTTTTTTGTTGTTTTTTTTTCAATGAAAAATAAAAGTTTTTCGCAGTAAAATAAAATAAATTTGTAATGAAATATTTTAATTAAGTAATTTTGTTTAATAACAAATTGTTGAAAACTAAGTTTTAAATAACATGTTAACTCACTTTATTATTGTATTTTTTTTCAGCTTGTTCCTTTCCATGTACAAGAGAATATAATCCAGTGTGTGGATCAGATGGAAAAACCTATGCCACAGAATGCGTAATGAGAGGTTTTGCATGCCAGTACGAAAAGGCTATTGTTGCCGTTCGCGACGGACCATGCGAAGCTGAGTAAAATCTACATCTTTTTTTAATTTTTAGTGTTCAAAATTGATTACAGCAGATTATTTTGACCAAACTTGTCTATTTATTGAGTTTTATTCTCCTTTAACTTTAAACGTTGCTTAGATTATAATTTTCTTATTTGGTTATGTTTCATTAAAATAGTTTTAATTTTATTTTTTACAGTAAAATTAACATTATTGCTATGATTACCAGGTTGCGTATTAATTTTATTAAAAGTTAAATTTACATTTTTGCAATCACCAACTTAACATATCAACCTGTAAACTTATTTTTCACGCGACTTTGATTCCAGAATAATTTTCTAAGTTTTAAGTTTTATTTTGCCTAAGAAAATTTGATAAAATAAAATAAAAATACGCGTGACAGATAATGAAGTCTTAAAATACTGAACTAAAATTCTTGTTAACCTTTTCAATAAATCTAACAAACGAATAGTTAATATGATTGAATAATGAGATTTTTCAAAGAGTCTGAGCTAACTTTGTAAAAGAATTATGTCCAAAGGAACAATGTAGGAATGAGGTTTTAAAAAAAATAATTTTTATTATATTTTTTCTTTAACACCCGGCAATAAATTACAGGTAAAATAATTTATAATAAAATAGTCACCAAATAAATTGTAATCAGCTAAAACATCTCTCGCAGTTGTTTGCATTAAGTGCAAGTTATAAGCCGGTGTGTTTTCCACAAATTATTGGACCAGAATTTTTGGAACATTCTCCTTCATCAAAATTTTAAACAACTCTCTCTTTTCCTTCTAATTCCAAAAATGGAACGTTTCTTTTAATATTGATACAACATCAGCTTGCAGGCCTTCGCCCAGCAGGAACACTGACGTCCTAAGGACGCCCATACGACGTTTCATTTCTTGTCCATAAGACGCCCTTAGTTGGTATCAAATGAAAGACTTGAGGACGTATATTCTAGACGTCCTAAAGGCGTCTTTTCAAAATGTCCTAGAGACCTTTTTTGCAGACGTCCTAGAGGCGTCTTTTCAGCCGTCCTATGATCGTCTCTGGCTGGTCTCATGTGAAAGACTTAAGGTGGCTTTATGGGTAAAAAAAATAACTTCTGGATTTTAATGATAAATGTTTCCAAATAACTTTAAAAGAAAATAATAATTTTTTTTAACAACAAATACACTTTAAAAAATTAGAAAAAACTTTTTGTTTTGCTGAGTCAGCAAAAGTTAAGTAAAATATAAACACACTTTAAAAACTTTATAATTCCTAAAATATAAATCTAATGAACTTAAAAATTTCAGAATATCTTTATGATTTCAACACAAAGGGACTGTAGCAGAATTTTTTTATAAAAATTTGTAAATCAAAAATGGCGGATAAAAGCAATGGAAGCAAAATAAAAGTCAATTTTTAACATAAAATAATTATTCCAAACTTGAAATAATATCATCAGTTTTGTGTAATTCTGCTACAGTCCCTCAAGTAACTGTTAAGGAGCACTCCCTGAAATTTCAAGTTGATTGCCTTAATACTTTTTAAATAAACCCATTTAAGGATTTGTGCAATATCGAAAAAAACAATTCTATAAAAAACGCATTTAAAAAACATATAATAATATTTTTTTAATTTTTCCTGGAGAGTAAGATTTTCCACCTTCAATTCTTTCTCTTTATTAATATGTCCCTTTTTGACACCTCTTAGAATTTTTCTGTCCTTTTTAAAAGCTTCAGAAGATTTCCTTTTTAAATGACGTTGACGGTGGAAAACAAGAAATAACCGTTGCTAAGGGCGTTGCTATAAAAGCAACGCCCTTAGCATTTGACAATACAACTAACTAACCGCCCAAAAATAAACAGAAACAAAAAACTAACTAACTAATCTCAATGTGCAAAACTAACTAACTATTCTAACAGTTAAATTTTAAGTAGTTAGTTTTGCACATTAAGATTAGTTAGTTAGTTTTTTGTTTCTGTTTATTTTTGTGCGGTTAGTTAGTTGTATTGTCAAATACGTGTGAGGTTTGGGATTAAGGTTGGGTTGGGTGGGTGGGAAACCTTAATTCCTTTTAATCCCTCCTGCCCAGACCTCTCTATTTGTATATAAGTATGTGAAATTAGTCAGTTAGTCAGTTATGAGTGTAGAGGAACGACAAAGTTATCAAGTTAATGAACAACACCAAAGTTTTCAACAAACGATGAATTATGAGACTTGTTTAATGACGGCGTTACCGCTGGACCGTCTAAACGGACTTACTGCAGTTCAAATATTGGAGGAGCCGGTGTCGGAGGAGCTTGTGGAAATGATCACAGCATGTTTACAAAGCTCGGAAACAATGCTAGAATGGCAACCGCATCTGTCCTGAGTGACCAAGCTAAACATCTCGTTACTTCTGAGATACATAATAGTAAAACAAGCTGGTACAGATACCACCACGTCATCTTTAATGTTTCCGCTGCACCTCATGGTTCGGCTATGGAGGAGTATGTATCTGACCCATCAACATCTAGAGTTATTCCTACAACATTGGATGAAGTGCAGTGGTTGTCAAATAGATTTGGTTCTGTTATGTAATGCGCATTTTGGCTGCAAGCGACCCGAGCCGTATTATCTTTGCTTGCTTAAGTTCGTGTGCCAAAGAAACGGGAGATCTGCCTGGACTGTTAGAATGGTCATCAGAGCCTATTTTAAAGCTATATCAGATTGGGAGAACTGTTACAGGTGCGGAAAGGCCAAAGTAACAGGAGATACTAGCAAATGTGACCAAAGCGGAACTGGCATCGTTATCATCGATATCGTGTCCGGGGAGCATTTTGAGCGAGTGCAGGACTACATCCTCAATAGGACCACCAAAACAGCGGTACCAACAGCGATTGTTGAGCCCTGCCTCAAGCATACAGATCAAGATGTCAATTGCTTTGAGAAAGTTTTTTAGGGCCAGTTTGCCGACTGATTTAGAGGAAGATGAGAATGCTTGGTTTCCTCCTAATAAGAAGACGCAAACGGGTACAAAACGTATATTCAAGAATGTGAAACAATTATTCCATGAGTTCATCGTTGAGCATCGTATTTACAATTCTTTACAGTATTCTACGGCTATAATCAAGTACCCACTTATGCGTAAGTATGCACGAGCTATACCTGCTGCTTCACTCGAATCGGTTAAAAAAGCAGCTTTTGGCGAAGCATTCATTTACGCAATGCCACGTATGGGAAAAAGAGCCTATGATATATCCTTCCTCTACACTCATAACTGACTAACTAACTAATTTCACATACTTATATACAAATATAGAGAGGTCTGGACACGAGGAATTAAAAGGAATTAAGGTTTCCCACCCACCCAACCCAACCTTAATCCCAAACCTCACACGTATTTGACAATACAACTAACTAACCGCACAAAAATAAACAGAAACAAAAAACTAACTAACTAATCTTAATGTGCAAAACTAACTACTTAAAATTTAACTATTAGAATAGTTAGTTAGTTTTGCACATTGAGATTAGTTAGTTAGTTTTTTGTTTCTGTTTATTTTTGGGCGGTTAGTTAGTTGTATTGTCAATACAATTAACTAACCGCCTCACTAAATCAAAATTTTAAACATTATTTATTGTTTTTTAACCATAGATTATATATATATATATATATATATATATATATATATATATATATATATATATATATATATATATATATAATATATATATATATATATATTTACATATATATATATACTACTGTGATCAAAAAGTAAGGTGAATTTTTTTATAAAATGAAAAATCTTTATTTATTCTTCCAAATCTGTTTCGTCCCCCTCAAAATAATCCCCCCCGGCCCCAATGCACTTTTGCCAACGTTTTTTCCAGTCTTCGAAGCATGCCAAAAAGTCCTCGGTAGGGATAGCCTTCAATGTGCGTGCCGATTCACGTTGGATCTCTTCAATGGACTCAAAACGATTTCCCCGGAGTGGTCTCTTGAGCTTTGGGAACAGCCAGAAGTCACACGGTGCTAAGTCGGGCGAATACGGTGGTTGTGGAGCAACATGGGTAGAGTTTTTGGCGAAAAACTCACGAAGAACCAGTGCTGTGTGCAAAGGCGCATTATCGTGGTGCTAAATCCAAGAGTTATTGGCCCATAATTCCGGTCTCTTTTTGCGAATAGCTTCACGCAAACGTCGCATAACGCTTAAATAATATTCCTTGTTGACAGTTTGGCCAGTTGGAAGGAATTCGTAGTGCACGACACTACAATAATCAAAGAAAACAGTCAACATGACCTTCATTTTTGAGCGACTTTGACGTGGTTGCTTCGGTCTCGGCTCGCCTTTTTCACAGTATTCACTCGATTGGTCGGTTGTTTCAGGGTTGTATGCGTAGACCCAAGTCTCATCGCCAGTAATAATTTGTTTGTAGACGTCATGATAGTTAGAAAGCATTGCTTCACACGTTTTAACGCGACGCTCTTTTTCAAAGAAATTGAGAAATTTCGGCACCAAACGTGATTTGAGTCTTCTGAGGCCCAAATGATCTTTCAAAATCGCTTGCACTGACCCAAATGATATTCCAACCATGTCAACAAGGTCTCGAATGGTTAACCGACGATTTGCAAGCACCAATTTTTGATTTTGTTGATGTGGCAATCATCAATCGAAGTCGATGATCGTCCGGAGCGTTCCAAGTCATCAACACGTTCTCGGCCTTCTTTAAAGTCTTTGTACCACTTGTAAACATTTTTTTGAGACATAGTCTCTTCACCGAAGGCCTTTTGCAACATTTGATACGTTTCAGCAGCAGAAATATCATTCCGCAAACAAAATTTAATAGCACTTCTTTGCTCAACAAAATTAGACATCGTGAAAATCGCCGAATGCACTTTTGGTACTTCAGAAACAAGCGTAAACAAAAAAAAAATAATTATGAGTTTAACATGTAATTTGGCGCAAATGTTAATGACATTCCTACCAACTTAAAAATAAAAAAGATTGGACGATTCGAATAAGACGGGAAGTTCAAATTAAAAATTCAC